CACCTCATAAACCAGAATACCAGAAGTTAATCCCTCTAGAGCTGTTGATGGATCGATAGCAACAACAATCCATAGTAGTAGAAAACCCAAGGGATTTTAACTGAAGTCTCAGTGGCATCTGATCCTGGTTAATCTTGCAAAAGCAGGTCATGATCATAACTATGCCAACTTGAAAATGAGCAAACTGTTCATGAAAGGAATTCTAGAGTCAAAAGTGTACGGAATATGGGTAAAGAGATGCTCGTTCCACCCCATGGGATTCAAGAAAAGGTTTAGAAAAAAAGATGTACAATGTTTTCTCAAGCCCACAAAAGTCTATATAACATGATACATGACACTGTTGGGGTTTTTTTTTGTTTTAGTAGTTTTTACGGCACTCGCAACTGCATAAGATCATATGAGTGCCAAGGGGTGGATGTCGACAGAGAAGCCCTTACAGTAGGTTACAGGGAATCAGGCTTACTCTGCTCACCTCTCCAGCTTCAACAGCACAGAGTCTGCTTCAACTATCAAGGCAGCATGGAAATACCGGGTCACAAAAGTGTGACAAATATACAAAGAAGTAGGGGAAAAAGTGACGATAGTAGTAAGGATTAGGAAAGAAAAAGCAGCAGTTCCCTGTTGCAGTTCAGGCAGTTATGAGCAAGACTTTGATGAATCAGCCCTTTTACAATTCTACTGTGCATAAAAACAAGTTAATGTCCCCCCTTTGGGAATGGCATAAAGACACTTCAGTTAGTAGCACGGGGAGGTGGGGTTGAAACTGTTCATGCATTTGGACCCTTCAATATGATCTGACTTGATGGCTTCGATATTCGAATCTGTGTTTACCTCTGAGAGGAGTTGATGGTTTTTACTAATAGTATGTACAGATTTTTCTCCCGCAGCCTGTCAAATGCGTGTATGTAAAAGTAAAAGCTAACTGAGAAAAAGGTGAATGATGGAGTGAGTTGTGACAAAATAATTCTGTTCATATCAGGCAGGAGTAAGCTCTGTGATCCAGCGTGGGAATCTGATGACTCACATTTCTTAAACTTAATAAGACAATCACATGAAAACTGTACTGCAGATGAAAATTCCACAATTTCCGTGAAACCACCAAGGGAATCTTTAGAAACTCGCTTTGCTTCTACGACTGTATTTCCCGGAAAATATTTATGTTTTCGGATGAACTGAATCAATTCTGTTCTAATTCGATTTGGTCTCAAGATATTTTGTGTTCATTTATACAACATGGAAGTCATTTTTCGGGGGGGGGGGGGGGGGGGAGTGAATATATTGTAAATATAGGAATCTAAAAGTGTTTTTCCCCATGTTATGACATATGTAAATTCATAGTGATTTTGAGATTTTCGTCAAATGTGGAAATTTTGACAAGATCCATCCGTGTCTATAAAATATATGTAAACATTAAAATGACTTTATAAATATCATAGTATAGGGTGTAGGAACTGTGAGGTGACCTAACAGTTCATAGAAAATTTGGGAACTTTGACAAGTTTGCCATTTGGATAAAAATGTGGGAAACTTGAGGCGATTTTATTAGTTTTAGTTTTTAGCTTTAGTTTTTATAAAAAGTTGGGTGATTCAGTCGGTGCATGATGATGGAGCCACAGAAATGTCGGCCGTGGTGAGCGTCAGTGGTGCTGTGATCACAAAGAGACTTCACTGGTTCCAGTTACCCAGGTAGTTGAGTCAGCTAGTTCACCATTCGTAGACTTAGCTTGTGTCTTGACTGTGTGGTTGTATAAGAATGTTCACTCTCTGTGATAGTGTTTTTTTATTAGACAACTCAGCATTGTTTAACTGCAATTAAATTGATTTCAACAACCTTTGTCTTCTGGAGTGAGTATTTTTTTCAAGCGTAAATGCAGTGTCAACACCCTAGGCCATGGCCAAATGGAGGGGGATTGTCCAGTTGAGATTTTTTAAGTTTTAGTAAGAGTTTTACGGCACTTGCAACACAATAAGGTCATATAAGTGCCGAAGATTAGAGGTGTTACAAGAGGCTTCAAACATAAAAAAAGAAAGAGGAGAGATCAGGATGATAGATGTTTGACAGGAAAGAAGGAGCAAACAACACCAGAGCACCCGCCAACCATCCCCCTGTCAAGTTCAGAGCTTGTGTAAAAAACCCCACAAAAATGACAAAATAACAGACATTTGGTGTTGGGTAAAAGCGAAACAGACCTTCGAAGGACAAAGACAAAAGAAAGATAGTAAAATTATAATAACAAAAATAATAAATTTTTAAAATTAATAGCATTTTTGTTATGCATACCCACGCTCTACGAGCAAGCTACTATGCCCTTTACAAATATAATCACTCAAGTAGACCTTAAAACACCCAGAAACATTCTCCACTTCCTTGGGAGCACACAGTGCAAGCTGCCATTTTAAAGGTGCTAAAACGCTAATATACTGCCAAGATTTTCTGAGTGTCTATGGCTGGGTTTTTTAGTTTTAGTAGAGGTTTTACGGCGCTCACAACTGCATAAAGTCATATGAGCGCCAGAAGATTAGAGATGTTACAAGAGAATAACAAACATAAAAAAGAAGGGGAGATAAGGACGATAGATGTTTGATAGGAAAGAAGGAGCAAACCACACCAGAGCACCTGCCAACCACCCACTCTGCTGTCTATGACTGGGTATAGAAGTTATTTAGTAGGACCTGCAAGTGAACACTCCAATCAGCCACGTGGAAACTTTTAAGATCTATTACACATGACACACTGAGCTCATGCATCTATTATCAATATTATCATAATGATTATTACAACCTTTAATGGCAGTAAGATGTTTAGTTTTAGTAAGAGTTTATGGCACTTGCAACAGTCATATAAGTGCAGATGATTAGAGGTGTTACAAGGGAGTAACAAACACGAAAAAGAAGGAGGGGAGATAAAGACGATAGATGTTTGATAGGAAAGAAGGAGCAAACCACACCAGAGCACCCGCCAACCACCCCAGCAGTAAAATGAAGAACTAAAACAAGACATTAAGACACTGTGACAAAGGACAAATGGTACAACATACAGAGGAATAGGCCAAATTTTTACCGAACCAAAAACAAAATAATATCAAAATGTGACAGGTCAAACATTCAAACATGTATGATAAAACCAAACAAAGACACAAGCAAACATATACAGAATCCACTTTATTTTTCCATATCACCAATTGGGTTTTACAACTTTCTTCCAAATACAGAACAAGTAGCCTATAGTTAGCATCCATCCACCACCCAGGAGACTCTTCAGTTGCAAAAACACGCATTGGGAAAATGATTAAAATTATACCCATACTAAACTAAATAGATCTAGCGCTGGAAAAGAAAAGTAAGAAGGGTAAGAAGCAATGGGGGAGGGGGGGGGGGAAAGAAAAAATAGGATACAGGTGTCGAACATAAGTCATAATTTCACTCGTAATTACAAAATAGAATGGACAACCAGCTGACGGATTCCCAAGGCAAACAGAAGAAACGGCTCGGCAAAAATCATAAAGGTATTTAAAGTTAATGCAAGCTTCAATAAAATCTTACAGTGTGTGGAAACACGTAAAAGGCAAAACATGCATAAAATCATTGGTGTGCCATAATTCAATAATTAGGTCAAGATTGGGAAACAAACGGAATATGGATTTTTTCTGATACTTTTACCAATTTCTCTTTCTTTGCCCTGTTGTTAAACATGCTGTTTATGTATCTCTTTACGGTTCTGACACTAAAGGGTCATTTTTTTCTGGTAAGTGTTTTACGGCGCTCGCAACTGCATAAGGTCATACAGTAGAACTCGGATTCAACGAGAACTCGTATTCAACGAGATGAGATAGACTCCTCGTTTTTTTTCTTCTTTAAAATCAATAAAAATAACCCGGATTCAATAAAGCACCTATATCATCGAGCTCGGATTCAACGAGGTCGCTTCAAGGGTGAACAGCCCCTGCAGACGTGGCTTCGTTCATTTTTCTCCCAGAACGAACTTTATCTATTCCCGGAAATCATCCATTGCACCTGCATCGTGAACCATTATTCACTTAGCCGATTGAATGCGACCAACCAGCGGCCTTTTTTCATACCAACACATGCGTTGTTGGCACGCGCACGTGTCTACTCTAGCATGTGTTGGGGTCGGATGGGCGGCCTGCACACGTATGACTGTGTGTACTTGTCGGGGAGTGGGGGCACGCTAGCGATCTGGGCGTTGAACGTGACAGATACAAAGGTGTCACAGTCTTTTTCCCCCTCGGCAACTGATCACTATTACAATGAGTCTTAATGTAGATCTACATAATGAATTGTGCGCTGCTCTATGGAATCAAAAGTTGGCGTATGCTAGGCTCTACACAGCAACACAACTTTTTGGTAAACGATCAAGATGACTCAGGCGTGGGTATTTGAACGAATCGGGTCTTTTTTTTACACAGCTCATAGTATGCAGGTATTTCAGGCACTACTTGTGACTTCTCTTTATACATTACTTGCTCAGTACCTGTAGTTATCTACCCAAAACCTCATGTTTGCTATAACAAACACTCGGATTCAACGATATTTTAGATCAGGCCCAGCGACCTCGTTGAATCCGAGTTCCACTGTATGAGCGCACAGGACACATTAAACTTTTTCGGTTGGTAGGAAATTTTGAATTTTGTCCAGGTGGAGGCCGAAGCCTACTCTTATCGCTTTCAGACCACCAAGGGATCTTTAACGGGCACAACTTGTACATGGGACCTCCGAGATTTTTCGCCCATGTCCGAGAAGGCCAGGTGTAGATCTTTCCTACCAGAAGATCAGGGGTGTGGCTGAAAGACAGCAGTAAGAAGGAGCCAAGGAGTAGCAGTAGAAAGGCTGCAGAAAGAGTCAGGAGCCCAGACGAGGGGGGGCAAAGTAGGTGAGGGGATGGGGGCAGGAAGAAGAAATGAAAGCAGATGACAGAACATTGCTAGAGAGCAGGAAGGGGGGTGAAAGGAGACAATTTTAGAGAAAAAAAAAATTTTCGGCTGCTACCCGGATTCGAACCCGGGACCTTTGAATGAGAGGCCAACACCTTAACCTCTAGGCCATGAGAGCCCCCTTACTCAAGGGTCAAATAAAGTTGCTTTTGAGTAAGAATCAGTTTACATCCCTGGAGTGCTCCAACAGACCAACAATCCGCCACTCTCTTGACAACAAGAAATACTACAACAAGAAGGATCATCTGCTGAACCTGTGGTATACTCTCCAAACAATGGCAACGCCCAGGCAAGACACTCCTAGCCAGAACCAAGGAATCTCCAGCCCGTCTCTCTGAAAAGTAAATCAAGAAGCAAACTGAAGTTTGGTAGTCAAAGTTAACATTGGTTGAGACGACACAGCTCTCCCAAAAGGCTTTCAATGGATAGTCTATCAAAATTAGTCTTACAACAAATGAAATCATATACTGAGAGGAGACCATGCTAAAGAGCTGTCAACACTGGTAATATTGGCTTTCCATGCACTAAGCAGTTTTGGTAAAGGTTAAAGTCTACTTGATTCTCTCATTCTTGAAATAAGTTTAAATTTGTGAAGCGTGCTGGCAAAATGAGTTACTTCTCAGATTCAAGCCCTGTGGAAATAGATACATCATGCTTGTGGGTGAAGTTTTTACAATCTATAAGTATGAAATAATCTAAGGCATGTTACTGTTAAAAAACATGACATCAATAGAAATTCTAAAAATTCGACCCTAGTGTCGATTTTTGGACAATATCTCCATCTGTGCATTGCGAGAAGTAACTCATTTTGTCAGTACGCCTCACATTTAAAGCATCTTCCACACAATGTGTCACGGCGACCCACATGTCGCCCTGCAAAGTGTGCTGACACTGGATTTATGGAAGAGACGGGACAATACAAGAAAATATGATTATTTTTAAAAATCTACTCAAAATTATTATAACCTTGACAACATGCAATGAGGGGTGGAGTCAACATTTGAGAAATAAAAATGAACCAAATATTCTCAAAACAAATTTTATTAAGAGTTTTACCGCCTTTGCAACAAAATAAGGCCATATAAGTGCCGAAGAATAGATGGAGAGATAAGGATGATAGATGTTTGATGGGAAAGAAGGAGCAAACCACACCAGAGCACCCGCCAACCAACCATCCACACAAATTATTCTTTTAACAATCAGGAAATTGTGACACACATCAGTTCACTTTCGTACCAGCTGAACAATTAATGTCTAACACTGAGAAAATAAGCATAAAAGAGCATAACGCAACAGAAATATTGTCACGTCAACAAACGCCCTTTACCTGTGTAGTAGATGACACGGTCATTACTCCAGTAACCTCCCCTTTCTTCTTGGGCAGCGGCACATCGGGTTGCTCTGCCTTGTGGTCCCCCAGTAGTTTCCCCTTCATGTAATGCTTCCCGGTCTCCACAATCTCAACTCTCACTTGCTTGCCCATCAGGTCCTCTTGCATTGGCACAAGCACCTGTCAAAAATTCAGTTGTTGTTTAGTTTTTAGTAAGAGGGGGATTTTTTAAAAGTTTTAGTAGAGGTTTTACGGCGCTCACAACTGTATAAGGTCATATGAGCGCCAGAAGATTAGAGGTGTTACAAGAGAGTAACAAACATAAAAAGAAGGAGAGATAAGGATGATAGATGTTTGATAGGAAAGAAGAAGCAAACCATACCAGAGCACCCGTCAACCACCCACAGTAAGAGTTTAATGGCACTTGCAACACATTAAGGTCACATAAGTGCCGAAGATAAGAGGTGCTACAAGGGAGTAACAAACACATAAAAGGAGGAGGAGAGATCAGGACGATGGATGTTTGATAGGAAAGAAGGAGTAAACCACACCTGAGCACCCACCAACCACCCACATTCAGTTGTTGGGTTGCAGGTCTACAATGTGTTTACCATACACAACAACAGCCCCATTTCACCAGGAGGAAATTAAGTTAAGAAGACTCAAGTGAAGTAAAAGAAAAAGACCCCCCCCCCCCCCCCCCCCCCACTCCCACACACACATACACCGTTTGAGGAGATTTTTAAGAAAAGAGAAGCTTTTTTGTTTCAGTAGAGGTTTTACAGCGCTTGCAACTGCATAAGGTAGCATGAGCGCTGAGGGGTGGATGTCAACAGAGAAGTCCAAACGGGGAATCAAGCTTACTCTGCTCACCTCACGACACCCCAGAAATAGCAGTTCGCAAGAGAGTGACAAACATTAAAAAAGAAGTAGAGGAAAAGTGACGATATTAAGGATGAGGAAAGAAAAAGTAGCAGTTCCCCCTATGTTGTTCTGGCACAGTATGAGCATCACACTGATAAACCAACCCATTTACAATTCTACTGTGCACAAGAACATATTAATATCCCCCCTTTGGGAATGGCCTAAGGACACTTCAGTCTGTAGCACTGCCCTGGTGAGGGGGGAGGGGGAAGAGAAACACATCAATACAATACCAGTCACTTAGTGCAGGAAAAGAGCTAGACTGACAGATAGGAACATCACAAGGACAAAAAAGAAGTAGAGCTTACCAATGGTGCCTTCCAAAAACCCACCCTGAACCCCACCAACAACATGACCCTATAACTTCCACCTCATCATGAGTATAATACAAGACTATGGCATCTGTTGTAAAGTGATCAATTCCACATAAGCTCATAATCACAGGAGACAGGAAAACATGGTCTGTCTTTCTCTCCTTATATTACCATTTAATTTAATTTGAGAGCCAACCCCACACATTAATTTTGCTTCTCTTAATCATAACCACATCAATGTGTCGTGAAGAGCTTCAAATTCAGCAATTAAATTTTGGAACTTTTAAAAATATCAATTTTCATATTTCACCACTTTGCACCATCACCACATAATATGGAGATGATATTTAAGCTCTGCACATAAGTCTGGAGATGAAGCAAAACAAGCAACACGATAAAAGTTAGTCATAAGCAAAAACACTAAAACACTTTCTCATGCAACTTCAGCATCTTAAGACCTCAGCACATAAGAACAGCCACATGCTCCAACACTGTAGAAAAATGTTATGGGAACTGAGACCATACACTCAAAAGAACAAGTCTGCGTATGTCGTTTTTTTTAAAGTAGTAGGCCTACAGGCCTTTTTCTGAAAAGATACAAAAGTACAAACTTTTCCTTTTTTAACTGACTACCCATTTTACACCCCATCAACACTATTTAGATCAGTTAAGAGGCAAGCTGTTTCGACTCTACCTGGCAGGGCCAACCCAAGTTAAGTGGGATACTAGATCCTGGCAGACAACAAAGATACTCGATAAATAATTTGCCCACTTTGAAATTGAACTTATGTCTACCACTGCTACTCCTTGGCTCCTTCTTTCGGCTGTCTTTCAGCCACACCCCTGATCTTCTGGTAGGAAAGATCTACACCTAGCCTTCTCGGACAAGGATGAAAAATCTCGGAGGTCCCGTGAGCAAGTTGCGCACTCTCAAGATCCCTTGGTGGTCTAAAATCGATAAGAGTAGGCTTCGGCCCAACAGCCAAGAGACTAACCATAAAACCACAGATGCCAATACAACAATCACTTTTATCTGCTCACTAATTACTCGCATCTATAATAACAGACCTGCCAACCATTCCACAACCAAAACCAAGAGTTTTCCTCAAAATCTTCCCCAAAATTGGAATTTGTAGAGAAAAAATAGTCTCAACAACCCCAAGCAAACTAAGATTGCATAATGAAACAACCCTGGCAAGTAAACGAAGATAAATGCAAGTAAAAATTTGCATTTTTAAATCATTTATAATAAGTAGCGACAGTAAGGCAAATAAACCTAAATAAAAATATGTATTTTCATGTCATGTACAATGGCACGCATACAACCTGAACGAAGCTGAATTCAAGAAAACAACCGGATCGGGGTTCTTTGAAAGGAAAAAAAAAAAAAATTGGATAGAGAGCTCTTATTTTATCAGAATACTCCGCAGATCTGTAATAAGGAAAAAGGGACACCTTCTCTCACCTGATCGTAGCTCTTGTTGTGTCCAACGTAATACTGCCGGTCATGTGATATCTCAGTCACCAGCACGTTTTGAATTTCATGCAGCTGTAGGCAGACAGACAAGTATATATAATATATATATATATTATGCCAAA